TACTGTTCAGAAATATATAAACCGTTTTGGTGGCTAGCTATGGACATTTGAGATACTACAGGCTTTTCAACACCATATGTGGCAGCAAATGTGGCAGAAGACCTTCTAGAAGAAATACTCTCAAGACTTTTGAAGGAATGAACCATTTCATCACCAACCAAAACACCAGAGTGGAAAGAATGACTCCTTTCTTGTTGTGTTCACCTGGATCTGCTGACCTCATCTGACCAGTCCTCTTGTTAAACTGCACTGAGACCTTTGACTGAGACACAAAGCAAAACTTGTATTTAATAAAGTGTATCTCTCTCTCAAGATACCAAGGGCTATGTACTTCACTGTGACCCATGCGGTAATACCAATTCCCTCTTTATATTATTCATGTCAGTCTGATCACCTAATCTGGCCCATATATGGATTAAAACCAAAAGCCTTGTCTCCTCTGCTAACTCCTAACTCCTAACTCCTCTCTTCTTTGTGCTTCCTGTGCCCTAGCCCCTCCCACCACAGTGTTCATAATACAGACCTAATCCCTGTGTCCTCTCAATCCTGGCTCTGAATGAAAGAAGGGGATAGAGGCACGTTACAAATCTCATTACTAGTCTTTGGTCTACGGCTGAGTGTGTTACCACCTTATCAGCACTGGACAGTAAAGGTATGAGAGCACAATAGAGTACTAGACCTACAACTACTGTAAAATACATAACCCTAAGGGAAAATATGCAGTAAGTAGGTATTTAAAGGTTATTTATGCAAATTGACTCTTGTGAGCTTTAAGACATGTTAGAATGTTGTAACCTTATCAGAAACATACCGGAGTTGTGTTTCGTTTCATTCTCACATGTTGAGTAATCCAGCATTATTAGACTCTTTACATCTTCAAAGATCAACATACTCTGTTCCAACTTGTGATGTCATCAAGTGGCAGCTGCCTTTCACTTTTAGTTCATCAGAGATTAGCAATTCCAGGGCTAAAATCATCCAAATGATTGTAAGTGTTCAATTTTATAGAAGAACTCAACCTAAACATACAGGATTTTTTGTGGTAAACAAGTGTGAATGAAACAAAATACAACTTCGGGTATGTTTTGATGAGGAAACAATATTATAGCATGAGAAACTAGCATAAATATCTAATGTGTCTAAGGCCCCATCCACACTAGTACGTATTTGAGTTGTTTTTGTTGTGGATGCAGTGTTCGTCCACACTAATCCGATGGAAAACTGCTCCAGAGACAGAACAATCTGGTGCCGCCAGCTCCCATGAATTCATCTGAGTACGGATTTGATTCGGCACCATGTGGACGCCTGAAAACATTGATACACTGATGTAGGAGCTCTAGTTGCGTCCTTACTGGACCACGCCACTGTGACTTGCGCCTTCCTGGGTTCACTGGGTTCATGACATCGGCCATGTGAAGCTATTGTCTATTGTTTAAACAAACCAAAGACAAACGGGAAACCGCGTAGCTAAAACTACTTGCACAGAACAGACTCACCATTAGCAGAACACCCCTCTGTCACAGAAAGAACACATATATTCCAAAGAGTCATGTCCTTTTTAAGTCCGACAGAGACCGGAGCGAGCTGTTTTTTGAGCGCTTAGCCTATGCAAATTAGCCATGTGGTTTTAAGTTTCGCTCAAAGCTGTGTGGATAGGGAAGGGTTGGGGACACAGAAACGACATGTCTGGACGAAAATGATTTCCGATACGGTAATACGGTGATATGGTGATTCATTTCATTGTAAACATAACCTAACTAGTTTAAACTAAATCTAACTAGTATTCACATGCATGAAAGTTGGGCTTTACTGAAAGATGCATTCTGTAACTTTTCAGGTGAATAATCTTCCACCCGTTTGTCTCTATGGATGTGGCATTGCTTTATCTGGAATGTTCTGCAGTATGGCATTAAACTCAACTTGTATTTATTAATTACAGGTGTTTTTGTTTATTTTGTCTCTGAATAGCTGAGGTGCCTCTCCACAGATCTAACCTCCTTGACCCTGCACCAGAGAAGTTGCACAGTCCAAACTTAATCCTTCCCGTCTACCATTTCCTAACTTAATTAACATCTTTCCTCCAAAACAATAAAAACATGATTTAATAGGGCATTTCATCTTTTAGTAAACAAGTCTCTAACATTACCGGTATGATTTAGCAGTCTGCGTCAGCCCGGGTTTTCAGTGCCCGGTGACAGTTTTAAACACACCATTTGCATAAGTAGAAATACAGAAACAGCAACGATTATTCCACTCGCGCCCGTCCCGCTTTTGAGGTGTCACATTTGATTAGTTCTGTCTGATTATCATTCAGATTATTCAGATTATTTTGTTAGAATTCGTTGTTTACTGGCTCAGGCTATGAGCTGAAGCAGACTGAGACAATGATAAACATGTCATAGTGTTGCCGCAGACAATTCTGTTGTTGTCAAAATGAGCAGCTGTGGATGTGGAGCCACTGTGCAACTCGGAAGAATCCAGAAGTGAGCGGGAAGAATGGGGAAAAGGTGTTAGAGGAAAAGTTTTAAAACATGCATCTTAACTTGCTTATTTTCAGCAGCCGGAAATGAGGTTCACCCTGGACAATAGATTCACTCTTTCACCACAAGGAAGGTTTCGACTAAAAATGTAAAGTTATGTATTAGGTTACATATGAGAAGTTTACTTAAGGTGCACCAAGTAACTTTTCTGGTAAAGATAATAGAGATGATACTGTGGTGGCTGAAATGTTCCACCCTATGGCATTAAATAGGGATGCAACGATGCAGTTTTTTCACTTCCTATACTGATACCAACGCTTTGACTACAAGTATCTGCCAATACCCGATATTAACAGATACGGTAAATGACATTTCTGTCCTTTAAACATCCAAGATCCAATTAAAGAGCTAATCCTTCACAAAACTACTGAACAGCTTGTATAAATGAAAAATTATGAAATGTTCTAGGCCAAAATCTGCCTGTAAATAAATGACATCTAAAATCATAATTATCACATCTAATTAAAGGCCCAACCAGGGTATCGGCTGAACAAATATCATGGTATCAATACACAATCTAGGAATTTTTATCAGCATCAGTGCCGATATTTGATGCCAGTATTGTTGCATCTTGCTTTTATTCAATTTTACTGTTTAGAAAATGCCTTGAATAACATGGAGTCTTACTACGAGTGGGTCCACGTCTCCCCAGATCTCACCGGTTTTCTCCATAGAGATAAATACATTTAATGCCATACTGTGAGACATTCCGGCAAGCAATACCATCTCCATGGAGTTGGGGGACTTACCACCAGAAATGTTACATAAGCGCTGTAGATAATTCATCAACAAAACAAGACACTGGTGCCAAACACGTCAAACTCTCCAATAACTATTCACTATTATGACATGAATTTAAGTAACAACCTTAGTAAGGAATGGATTATATTTTATTTATTATTGATTATCCTGAAAATATTGAATAAATGCATCATGTTTACTCTCTTAAATGCGTGTGTGTTTAGATAATCAGTGAAACTTGAGGAAGTCCAGAGCCGATGGGAGGAGGTTGTGGTTTTCCCGGAAGTTTGCGTTGTGCTTTAATGCAGTTTCTATTGAACCTGCTGCTCGGAACTTTGTCCATTTCCCCAAAAATACAGTAATTAAGACTCACATTAACGTCCCATATGGATTCGTATTGATCGCTTCATTTGCACAGTCATTATGGCCAACAGGAAAATTAGCCATCATTTTATTATTGAATTATGTTTGACCAAGTTATGGCACAGGTTAAAGCTCTTAGGTTTTGACATTTTTAAAAATGTTTTATGTATTTATTTATTTTGATTTATGCTTTTAAATGTATGTATTTTAATGAAATGGGAAGTGAGGAAGTAGAGCGTCTATTTATGGATTTCAGTCATTTTACTTTTTTCTTATATGGATGCCATTTTGAGGACTTTTGGTATTCAAAATGTACTACAATTAGAAAAAATAAATAAAATGAGTAAGTTTTTAATTTTGCACATATATAACATAATAAAAAAGGCAAAAGTATAGGTGCAGGAAGAGGCAAAAAACCCCAAAAGGTCTTATATTAAAGCCTCCACATTATGAAAATTGAAAATTATAAACACATTTACGCACCTTAAAGAAAACTTGATTCAAACACTGATTAAAATACAATGAAATACCCAAAAATTGAGTTCACCACTTCATTACCTAGACTTTTGCATTTGCTTGAATTTCGGAAACTGACCTCGAGCTGGTCCTGGCAGTACTTACTTCTCACCAGTGCACCCTTTTGTCCCTGGGAGCCGAACCGGGGCAGAGGAGTCGTCCCAAACGCCCCAAGCTCCGGCTCTCCCTGACAGCCCATTCATCACTGGCTCCTGCTTTTATCCACAGTGTCCACAATGCCCCCATATTTGTAACTCTTTGTTTACGTTTACAGTGAAGACGCCAAAGAAACAAGAGGCCAACTTTAATCCCAACTCTTAAAGACACGTTTTAACAGATCACAAGATTGTTCAACCTCCAAAACCACTGCTTTAAGAACTATCTGTATATTTACAAGTTAGACTAATAATAATAGTTAGACAAATAATATAGCAAGTACTTGTACCTTAATTGGATATTTGTACTACTGCAACCTATTACCTATGACTTATATTATATTTTAAGTTGTAATGAGAATCAAATGAGTATTGGGTTAAGTGTTTACAACCAGCAGCTATGTTACATAACTTCTCCAAATTAGTCTAAACCAAATTAATCAACAACGAGCAAAATAACATTAACATTATAAGAGTTAATCACTTATAGAATGACTCAGATTTTTCCGGTTCCAATCTTAAAACAACAAATTACTCACTAAACCTTTGATAGTTACATAAGTGCCATTTACCGTGAAATAACAGGCTTATCCGACATTAAATAAATGCGTGTTTATAAATGCTGAACAAAAAGGTCAGGCTGAAAGTTAAATGAGAAAACAAAGAGAGAGAAAAGGAGGCGTACCCATGGTGATGGGAGGGATGACCGGGTCTGTGGAGGAGGGCTTGGCTTTGACCGGGATGGGCGTGGTCGGGCCGTTCACCATCACATGACCTGAAAAACAGCAGATTTGTCAATAAACGTCAAAACAATAAGGTAGACATTGGATACAACAATAACAGTTTTTCTTTTGGGGTATTTTAAACTAGAGATGCACCGATACAGCTTTTAGATACCAATATTGATACTATGGTTTTAAATATCTGCTGATACCCGATATCAATCGATACCAGGCAGAGACTGAAAATATAATTTATTTCCTTAAAGGTTTCCCATATACAAATGGCATTTGGAAAACAATTATCCAAATGTGTTATGTAACTTATTTATCATATAAAGTAATTACAGAAAAGTTTTGGGCCAATATTGATAATTATTGATCATTTATTACACAAATTTATGTTTTATTATTTATTTATATTATTATATATCAGAAAGGGATATCTACTGAACAAATGCCTTAAGACTGATTTATGATCCATCAAAATTTCAGTATCGGCACCAATATCCAATATCAGTATTGTATTGGAGCATCTCTATTTTAGACTATACAGTGGTGTACTGTATGTAGGTCATGACTGTTGTTCATCGTAAACCTCAATATTGACTTATAACAGCTTAAAGATCACAATTTAATTAAAGAAATAGTCTGCAGACTACCACTTTAGAAAGATGCACTGCCCAATGGGAGCTGATGTCGCCGTAAACATCATCACTGCACAGACTCGGTGTTATGGATTTGTTGGGGTCTGTGTGTACATACATGGCTCATATCACGCACACCACAGAAAGCCGCCCTCTGCAGACAAATGCACAGGCATCTGTGCAGACACCTGTCCCAGGGTCTACATAAAAAGTAAACATTCTTCTGTGGCTTCCTTTGTGCCCTGTCTGAAGTAGAGATGTGGATTTATGTACTCGTCCGCACTAAAGGAAAGCAGTGAATGGTTTGTCTATCTGCAGCCCACGGCGAATATTTTGTCTCCATTGGAGTCAATGCAACAGGATGTGTCAGTCCAAAGCAGCGTGAACTTATCGCTACATTCATGCTCAAATGCACTGAGATGCCCGTTTGCCTCATATGTACCTCGGGGATGATTTAATAATGTGAAACTCACTCAAAAGAAACACGGATACCATATTTAAAATGAAATATTAGGTTTATTAAAGCTGGGTCCTTGGTCCTTGCCCTGTGTTGACATATCACCACCAACAGGTCCGTAACACCAGCAACTAAATGGATGATTGCACATCACGCTAACAAGCGTTTTCAATTTTTTCATTCATACCAAAATGACTATGCTGATTGAGAAAACAGAATAGCAGACCGCAGTTAGTCCAGAGCAGTGGGCGTATGCCGGTGGTGGTGAACACGGGGCATGATTGGCAACATGAAGTCTTAAAAATAAGTGATTAAAGATTACTCAAACATGCACAAATCACTCCAAATACAACTTCCAGAGGGTAAATGAGAAGGAGGAACAGCTATAACATGATTAAAAACTCAATTTTATATAATAGGCGAGTTTTAAAATGTAAAGAGGCCTATTCATAATACTCGGCTCTTCATGATACTATTTCGCCATGAATTGTAAACTAGACGCAGAGATTACATTTATATTAAACAAAAGTACAGACCAGTGGGTGGAGATAGGGGATAGGTGAAAACACAGAATTACTCCAACATAAATGAATCAATCAAACATGGAAATTATGGACTAATTAACTACCTCAAACTGTTCAGGGATTAGTGTTGGTAGAGTTGGACTATTTCAGATGAGTAAATACATACTTACATTTTTTTTCCCCTTCTGTAATTAACACATTTCCACATGTACTCGATGTAGCTCGACTGTGACCTTGTTAATTACATTGTTTCATAGTAATCCACCAGGACAAGCAGCTAATCACCATGCATTGTCACTGTCGATAACGGACAGGGTGACTCACGGAGGTTGTGCATTAAATCAATATTAAATTTCATTATTTGTGTGGAGGGCTTTGGGAGAATAATGGCCCGAGTTGATTCTCTAATACATTGGATTCCATGAATAAGTAATCTTAGATTTTCATAAACTGAACACAATATTTGGTAGTGATTTGTATAAGCGCTTTATGTTTCTATTGTGGTGTGTTATGTTATTTGTGTATGGGCATGGGTGACACACTGAAACTACAAATGCATTAAAAAATATATATGTAAATGGTATAGCACCTTTGCCTATGAATTTATTTATTTTTTGTAACCAAACTTGGGTATTGAACGTGACTTCCTTTTGTACGGTACATAAAAATAAAATGAAATTATTGATTGAATGAATTGTTATGGTGTCTTTACTTTGATCGAAATGAATGACTATACGGGTAGTTGTTTACTGACCGAGGTAGTGCAGTAGTTTCTGGGCCCGGTTCTGGACTGGCTTGAGGTTGAACAGATCTGGGTTCTCGTCGATGAACTGTGTGTCCACCGTGGAGTGAAGGAACTGGTGGTTGGAGAAGACATTCTGGAGGAAGGGGATGTTAGTCTGGGGAGAGAAGAAAATAAAAATATTCAACATTTTTTGGACATTTATACACAACAAAGGCTGGAGTATATTCTAGTTCACAATAACGTTTTCTATTAACCACAATGGTAAAGCAAGTTTATTGTTTGGTAACGACCTTCTTTTAGACTGGACTACTTATTTACATGACAGGTTGCCTTTTTATGGCTCACAAACTTAACATACTGTACAAGAATGAAGCTTTTTAGAACATATATGCACTTTGTTAACAGGAACTCAAGGCTTAAAAACAAGTTGTGAGTTGTATGTTGGCTGGGAGCATTTTACTTTCATTTTTAAGGGATTACTTGAAAATTGAGAGCCAAAAGGTTAAAGGTTCCATATTAAACTTTTTTCTGATTCATGATATGTTTCCTCATCACAAAAATGTCTTGAGTTTTGTTTTTGTTTTTTCCATTGAAACACTGCATATTTAGTGGATGATTTCAGTCTTGGAATTGCCAATTTTTTACTGAACTACAAGTAAGGTAGTTGTTAACTAGCTTTAACCACTACATGACATCACACGGTGGACCAGAGCAGTTTGGGCTTTGGAGATAGACAAAGTAATAATGCAGAATTACTGTATTTTCCGGGCGAGCCCTCCCTACAAGCCACAACTGAACAAAGCCCAGAGTCACCGTGAACATGCCAAACAAATTCCCACTGACCCATCCAACTGCTGTGTTTCGTTTAAAGTCCGGTGAGGTTTATTTGTGAAAAAAATGTTGAAAATAGACCATTTAATGACAGTGCGCCTTATAATCCAGAGCGCCTAATAGTGCGGAAAATACGGTACTCAAGCATGTGTAAATGAAACAAAACACAACTCCAGGTATGTTTTTGATGAGGTAACAACATTATAAGATGGCTTGAAGCTCACAAGAATCAATTTATAGGACCTTTAACATTACTGATAATACAGAAATTACTGTTGACATCACATATAGACCTAAGATTCTACAAACAGGTGGCAAACCCTTCACAAGAAATGCTCCACAGTGCACCCTTAAGTCTGTTGCACTTTTTCTGAAAACAAACCAACCAGAAACTCGTTGACTCCATGCGACTCCTGCTAGTTCAGAGAAATATTTTAAAGTTAAACCTCTCCTGACATTTTAATAAGAAACCCACATCGTATCCGCCATCCAGCTCCAAACAATGTCGAAACAAAACAACTCCACGCATAGTTAATCATCTGAGTGTTACGCTACCAAATTATCACTCCAAATAAATAGCTTGGGTGATGAAAACAAGGCATTCTTCTCATCTGCATTCAACAATATGTAATCACCACAAACATGCACACACAAGTCAACTGTTCAAAGTAATTACACGCCATTTCTATTTTGCTGTTTGTTTGCCTCAAAAATATTATCGCTTCAATTAGGTTCTCAGCATGCGTAGAATAAAGCGAATGACTCAAAAGATTGTAATTGCAGACTTAATTTCATTATTTGATAGGCAGTGAGGTTTTCATACTCATACACATGTCTTCAACAATGTTTCTCAAACGCATCCAGGAAGCGTTGCAACCGGCTGAATGAAGATATAGAAAAGAAGAGAAAAGTTATTTGTGCGGAGTGGTTCAAAGATGCGTGTAAATGTATTCGCCAGGCTGTTTGGGGTATGTTTACGCCAGTGTTGAGTCTTTAGAAAGAGCGCAGGGTTAAGCAGAAGAGGAGAGGGGAAGCTCATTTGCATATGACCCAGCGCATTGAAGCCGTATTTAAAAAGCTGCCAATCATCCGCCGCCATTTTGAACAGAAACAAAACCCAGATCCAAAACCTCATTGAAATAAAGCTGCAGCCTGTAGGTGCATGGCAATGTGGTGCATGCTGAAATTTCTAGCAAAGTGTAAAATTCTATGTTATTAACACATCTCTGCGTAGTACTCCTGCCTGTGAAAACATGAGTATTTCTACCACTACTATTAATATGCATCTACACTGTATAATTAAAGGTCCTATATTACCCAAAATTGACTCTTATGAGCTTCAAGTCATGTTTTAATGTTACCTGTAAGCATAAAATGTTCCTCTCTTCATGATCCAGGTGTGCGTTACATTTACAACAATGTACTCGAGTTTCCAGCATCGATAAGAGCTTATATATGTTTTTGTTAAATTATATACCACTGACATCTATGTACTCTCTGTTCTATTCGAGCACGTACAGCGACCTCCTGTTTTGTAAATATATGTACTTTTGCCTTATATGTATAGTTCGTGTACCAAGAGTTCATGTTTACACACCAGTTCTACTCATTATCATAAACTATAAATGCTGATGGTTTCTTTTGTCTGAGCCTCTGGGCCAATCGAGAAGATGTAACATGGAGCATCATGATATTTCACGTAACTATTCACGGGGCTATGGACTCAAATCTTATCAACGACATTCCCGCGATATCATTATCTCATCACAAACATACCTGGAGTTGTGTTTTGTTTTGTTCAAACACGTTTGAGTAATCCTTTATTATCAGTCTGTCTACATCTCCAAAGCTCACAATGGTCTGTGCCATCTTGTGATGTCATGGAGTGGTAGTTTTCAAGTAAACAGCTACATTTTACTAGTCTGAGTCATTAGTTGGTTTCACTTCGTTTTATTTTGCAGAAATCGTCTGACCTTGCAGAGTTGGAATTCGTTAGATCAATCGTAGGCTGTTACTTTTTGTCATTTAACTAATCGCTGCTATTTGGTCTGGTATGTAATGCGTCGCTAACGGGGCTAACTGGTATATTAAGCTTTTCCCAAATCCCGTAGGAAGAAGGGCAATAACGTCTTTCCCCTTGATGAAATTCACCAAACATTCTCTTTGTTCTGGCTTTAAATCCTCGATCTCGGGAATCGTGGCCAACACAGAATGTATGGCTCTTCACTGACTGGCTGGTGCCTGAACTCGCACTTCTGGGGTTTTTGCGAATCGTCTAGTGTATTCTGATTCCTGACCTAGTCACTGGAGATAAATGAAATTGAGCAGAGGCACTAGGTGGCGCCAGCCTGGCTAACATTTTACCTTTTGATCTGAAGAGATTGGTGTAAGAGAAGTAATTTATCTTCCACATATATCTCAGTTTAACATCGACTAACAAAAGTTATATTTACACCATGATCTTCTCTTGGCATACCATTGGCATACCATTAAGTAAATTGTGGCATATTGCTGTCTAAGAGGTGTCTACTGGCCTTCATGGTCTCACCACTTGCTTTATAAACCTCCTCCTCTAGAACAGTGTTTCTCAACCTTTTTTGAGCCACGGCACGTTTTTTACATTGGAAAAATCTTGCGGCACACCACTAACCAAAATGTTACAAAAATGACACTATATAGTATATTTAATTACAATATAATTTCTACATTAATTTCTACTTACTCAGTGTGAGACCTGCGCCTGTTTAGATGAACACAAAGCTGATATCCTGGCAGGAATAGAAGAAAGACACACACGAAACTCTTCATCAACAGCTCTCAGTCTCTCTCTGTTTTTAGTTTTTATAGCAGTTAAGCTTGATAAAGCTCTTCTTCTGGGTCAGAATCTTGTTCAGGGCCCATTTCGGAGTTCGTATTCGTCCATTTTAAAAACTTTTCCATGACTGTCACCATGCACATGCATTACTAATTCTTTTAAAGCAGGGGTGCTCACACTTTTTCAGCATACGATCTACTTACAAAATGACCAAGTCATAAAGATCTACCTAATACAAAGCCAAACAAACTGCACTGAAACACTCTGTGCCCCTTTTTGGACCCTCACCCACAGTTTGAGAACCCCTTCTTTAAGAGAACTTCCTCTGCACTTTACCCAAAACTGTGAAAAAATTGAAGGAAGATTTTTAAACCAGTTTTTTAAAGTTCCAAACTGGAGTTTCATTCTTTTCTGGTTTTGCAGTGATATTTACCAGCCTCTGCACGTTTACCAAACCAAATGCACATCGTGACAAACACAGATGCATTTGTGCACTTTTGTGAGGCAAACTTCAGCCAAATGTGGCAGTAGGTCTGTTCTGTAGATCCGCTCTATGCTGTAGACCTGCTTTGTGCCAACACTGGAACACAAATTTAGACTCGTTTTTGCTTCACGTTTCGTCTTGCTCTTCTAATCAGCGCACACTGTGGGAGGGGCTTGTGTTTGCTGTACGCAGGAAGGAGCGAGAGCGTGAAAAGGCGAGGGGCGGCGTGCTGACGTGAGGCAGATGGACAGGTAGGATGTTTAGGAAGTTGAACCTGCCCTGTGATGCACGCTGGGACACGAGGGCACACGCTGTTGCAGACGAGTCGTGCATCGGGAGCGTGTGTGTTTGTGATGTGCCGTAGAGTCTCTGCGGGTTTCAAATGGGCGCACAGGCTGCACTGAGACGCCCCACACGCTCCTGCACCCCGCTACAAGTTTATTGCCAACAGCAGCGGCCGTATGAAATATGATCGCACTTGTTGACTGTCAGACCTTGAGTGAGAGACAAGACCGAGTCCAAACGCGAGTCCGAGACGAGACACGGCGATCTACCCACACGACCTTGGCGATCGACTGGTAGATCGGGATCGACGTATTGAGCACCCCTGATTTAAAGGAACGAGGCAATTAGCTGCCTGTCGCCACCCAGACGAATATTAGATCACTCTGCCTGTCATTATATACTACACTGTACTACAGCACGGACACTCGACAATGACATAACATTTGCAGGTAATAATTAATAAATTTTTATTTTTAAAAAAGTGATATTGGATAATTTCTCACGGCACACCTGACGATCTCTCACAGCACACTAGTGTGCCGCGGCACAGTGGTTGAGAATCATTGCTCTAGAAGCATAGTTAAAAGGGGCTTGAACACTCAAAGATCACACTATGTTCTCTTCTGAAATCATACCATGTTGACTTTTCAAATCCCCCCGGGCCTGTATTATTGATGGTAAATAAACTTCTCCTGCTTAAGACATTCAGTTGGCCTCCAGCCTTTTACTTCCACCCTTT